TTAAATTAACAGCTCAGGTGTTTGTTCGTCCTGTAAGGGGGATTCAAGGTGAAAGGAAGGGACGGGTGGATTCTCTTGATGGGCATAATGTGTGAGCTGGGTTGTGTGCGGGTGAGTGTAAAAGCGAAAGGGGTGAGAAGAGAAAGGGAGGACGAGCTGGTGAGTGAGCGAAAGAGAGCGAGAGAGAGAGAGAGAGAGGGGAGTGAGTGATGGCACAGTTGAATGGATGTGACTGGCAAAGGCTTGGATGTAAAAGGACTCGCCCTTTCGTCAGTCTCTCCGATACATGCAAATCAGTATGGGGCCGACGTGCTTTCCTTCCCTCGCCACAACCTCCCCCTTCGCCCGTGCCCTTCCCCCGACTTAGTTTCGGCCGGATGGAAATCCCCCCTCCCCCTCCTGATTGAATCCCACCGCCTTGCCTTCTCCTGCGTGATGTTAAAATGAGGTCGTCGACGCTGTGAGTGAGGTACGGGCTGATCTCTGCCCTTGCGTCACTCTGATGCCGGCTGTGTCCCTCCATAGCCCCTAGAAAAATAAGGCCGTGTGATCGGATCGGTAAAGAGTTATTTAGTCTCTGTCGCCAGATCATAAAATTACAAGGTGTCCCAAATGGGCCCCCTTCTTTGGTGTATAGTCGTTTGTCCCGCGCACGAGTGTGGACGGGTCACCAGGTTACCTACTTCCTCGAGCGCAACAAGAAATCTCGCTAAAATTATTTTACAAGAAACCCTATTATTTTCTGAGTATGGTAGCAGCAAACACGTGTGCCAATCAATCAACATTTTTGCTACGGCTAAAAAAATATTTCTGTCGCAGCAAACAAATTTTTTAGGAAGATTTCAGTTCCTTCGTTTTAGCAACTGCCCGTTTTGCGTGCGCCACACGGTAAAAACACTGTCTGTTTTTGCTGTATGGAAAAGGGAAAACTTTGAGGAACTCCCTTGGTTCGAGGAAAACTCATATTTCGAGGAAGTCTCTTAAAAAGAAATGTAGGCTTTCTCCAATTGTTTGAGAAGATCGCTCAAAACGTGAGGCGAGATATGAAGAGTATTCCTCAAATACGGGAGTTCCCTTTTCCCTCAAACAAAACAGACATTATTTTCACTGTGCACGAGGTAGCGACGGTTGGCAAACCCGTTCACGTCCGCCCGCACGACTGCATGCGGCTACAAGATAACAAAGCAGAAACATTCCGTGAGACCCACTAACCAGACCAGATGCACTTTCAGGCAAATAAGCATTGTCGAAATCGTTTAACACTAAAAATGCCGATCCGGCAGAGGGTTGGATATGCTACACACGCAAAACTTATTTGCGTTGCTCGCATAAGGAAAGAAAGGTGTACTTTGATGAGAAACAGTGTGTTATGGGGGGGGGGGGGGGGATTTGATATTATCGTTGGCTTCACTCTCGATAACCCCCTTGCTCCATGCCCCCCCACCCCCAACCCCCGTTTCTATCCGCCTCATTCCACCCATACCATTCCATTACCTCATTCTCCTCTGATCACCCCCCTCCCCCTCCTCTAATCCGCCGCCCTTACGCCTCATGGCTCCCGTCCGCTTCCGGCCGCGGCCACTGATTATTACGTCTCTCTCTCCGCCCGCGGGACACCGAAATTATTTCCCCAACGACGGGGTTGGGGGGGTTGTGGTGGAGGGTGCGCGTGCCGACTGGGGGGGCGGCCCTCTTTGTAGTACGCGCCCGGCCTGCGAGAGTAGTAGTAGTAGTACGCGAGGATGCCTCTGTGGAGGACTCCCTCCCCCTCTCCCTCCCCTACCCCGCCCCCCTCGTGGTGCGGTATCCTCGGACACAGGATGCTCATGGCCTGGCCTCCGACGTACACGCGCGCGACGCGTGGCCCTCTCCACGGCTGCGGGATCGTTTAAACAGTGTATACGTCCGTTGTGTTTCTCAGATTCATAATTCGGCATATGTAACGGCTGAGCTCGGCGCCTGCGAGACTCGGGGTAGGCCACCCCGCAGTACACGCGTGCACTGTAGCCAGGATGTTGCCTGCCCACCAGGCGCTATGCGGCGGGGGCTTCATTGGGTTGGCTGAGGTTGGCAGGTTCGACGGACGGCAAACGACGGACGTACTAACTGTCTGCATGATCCGTAGCCCACGCGCCTGCGTCACCGCGTTCCACCGGTACGCGCAGTGTACGCGTGGTCCGAGATGGCGGGGAGCAACCCCTTTTGGAGCAGAGTTGGCGCGGGCGTGGCGGTCGCGGCACGGCACGGCGAGGTGCGTCCGCGACGCGAGCAAAGGGACTGCACCCCCCTTTGTGCGGAGGGCACGCGCGGACCCACCGGTCAGCATCGCCGCCCCGTGTCGAGCCCTTTGTGTAGTACGCGCGAGGTGGGCAGGCGGGGCAGGCGCTCGGCGGCGGACCCGGCGGACCTGTTGCGTACACACAGTGCTATCAGTTTCCTGCTTCTCATCGGGGTCTCGACGGGGCCGGAACGTGGCGGCGGCCCCAGCCGGCGCTTTGAGGTCTCCCGCCCCGCCCCGCCCTGCCCTGCCCTGCCCTGCCGTGCCCTGCCCTACCCCGCCCTGCCCCGCCCGCCGCATGACACAGTGCGACGGGCGGATGTGTCTCCGGTCAGCCAGTCTGTCTGTCCGTGTGCTCATCCGGCTCGCCCCCGGCGCCACTGCCCCCCGTGTGCTCCCGACAGTTTACACCACCGCCAGAACTACTACTACTACCACCACCACCTCCACGACCCCCACCCCTTCCACTCGACGACGACCACCACTACGACGACCACGACGACCACCACCACGGGGCAGTGCCGAGGGCAGCGCCCTGCTCGGTCCTGGTCGCCCTGCCTTGCCTGGCCTGGCCTTTGTGGCGGCGCTGGGCGCCAAATATAGTCCAACCCCATCCTTGCGCCCTCGCCTGCGCTGCGCCTCCCCCACGGCCTCTCCGCTCGCCTAGCTCCCTCCCTCACTCCCCCTCCCCCTTCCCGGCATTTCCCGCGGGGATTAAATTAACAGCTCAGGTGTTTGTTCGTCCTGTAACGCCACCAGCAAGACCAGTAACACCGCCGCCGGACGCCGGACTCTGCAAACGACGCTACAGAAAACATAACTCGATTCCCTCGTCCTAACGAGATAGATAACGAATGCACGTGGGGTGAGAGGGTGACTTCTGGCAACTTCCTTGCGTTCTCTTTACCTGCTGTCTTCACCTACTTCCATACCGTGCCCTATTTTTGGGCTCATCCCCGCCGGAAGGAGCAAACGGGGGCGCGCGCCCCTCTTTTGAATCCTCGGTAGGAAGGGTGCAAAAAGAGGGCAAAAGGGAGCAAGAGTGGGCCAGGGGGTGGGGGTGGGGGGCCATTGCATACTGAAATGTGAGATAAAACCCCCATAGAGCTGTGACTCCTCGGCTGGCAGCTGAGTGACGGGCTGCATCCGACTGATAAGGGCCTACCCCCAGTCCCTCCTGCCCCCCCCCCAAACCCTTAGGAGTGCGTGTCTCCCTAGAGGAGAGAGAGAGTGAGTGAGAGAGAGAGAGTCTTTTCAATAAAGTGGAAAAAGAGCCGATTGTGTGTGTCACCGCGAGGGAGTAGTGTTTGCGGGGTCTGGTCGGGCCGGAGTATATGGCGACGGCAAACAGACGTCAACAGGCTGGCGGTCAGACGGACTGGCTGATGGGTAGGGAGACGGGCGGGCGGGCGGGCACTCGAGTGGTCGGGCAAGCGCCGCGTGCGCAGGCAGCGAGGAGCGCCAGAGCCATGCCGTCGGAATGCCTACACTCCGGGCGTCCTATGCGGCTACCCAACGCCCACCGGGTAGCCCACACGATTATATCGGGACCAATATTGCTTTTGAAAGGAATCTTTGGTATGATGTGGGCTTGTTTTT